GTTTGCATTTTTAAATGCATGAAAGCGGCCTCATTTGGTGAGGCTTCATTATGGTCAAGTGTTTCTTCGTTACGCCACAGACACTCATCCACGTTCGCGAAGTGCCCATTTGTGCGTTTCACCTCGACATGTGTTGCAACACGAGACTGACACAAATTTCCTCCGATTACCCTGCTCATCCAATATTGCAGGCACAGGCCTCCATGTAGTTGGTCGTCGCATCCCCAAACCGTCGATTCCGATCGGCAAATTTCCACTAACCTCCAGTCTACGTTTCTATCGACATGGTGAGAAGTCGAGACATTCAAGGATGCCATTTGACAAAGATCGCATCCAACACACCTAAACGACATGTGTCACGTTGTGCATGTGTGTGAATGTGTCTGCCAATCAACACAGCGCCGTTCGCTGTAATCACCTTAGCGAAAATGGTGCGCCCTTAAGGAAACCTAGCACGACGACTAAACCTGCTACTAAAAGAAAGTGGCTTTTCATGTCGCCTGTTTAACCTCGGATGGACCCACATAAACCTCTCCAACGCTTCGCCTTCGTACCAAATAGAAGTCCGTAAAATAAATAGAAATTATTTATTGAATATTTCGGTTAGCAATTGCTCGAGGTTAACAATCCTCATTGTAGGGGTATTCTGGATGGTCCTTTAGGCTAAAATAGTCAAAATACACGGCGCTACCTTACGTTCTGTCTAACAACTTTTGTCAATCGCATCATGCTACATATTATTTTAAGTAGCGCTATCACATTTTAAAGCGTACTTCTTCAATCATTGTCAATCTAGGCATTCACATTTGACACACACACACACACACATACACTCAAACATATTTCCTATTGGCACCCTGAATGTGACCCAGTGTTGAGCAACCAGTATTCTAGTGAATTTTGATAAGGCAAAACAAAATTAAGCGCATGTGATTAACGACAACGACTTACGCAGGGACGTCAAACAGACGGACATTATGACCACTGGTGTTCAATATCTGCATCTCCGCATCGGTTAGTTCGAAATCGAATATCTAAAATCGACACAAATTATTGGTGACTACTAACCGCCATTCATCCTACATCAATATAGAGCATATACTGGCATATTATATCGTCTAGTTCACATCGTGCATTAACACACCAAATAAATCCATCAAATGATGTCGCGGGATGCTTGCATAACGCTGATGTTTTCATTAGCAAAGGCCTTAATCGAACTCAGTTACCTTAATAGTTTAACGGTTCTGTTACCATTCCGAATTGCTGCAACGTTGACTATCTAAATTCCGTGCCACCACATTTCCTCATCTTGTAATGCCTACTCTATTTAATAACTCTAAAGTAGGAATGGCACTGAATAAGCACTAAACGTGTACAATGCCAATACTTGGTAATACAGTTCAACATGCCACTTAAAAAACTAGTAGATATGGTAGAAGAAGCCGGGACTTACGTCGAAATTCGATTCGATGCGCGAAGGTGTCACGCTCTTGCATAAAACCACGAGGTTACGCTGCAACGCATGACGGAGTAGCACCTGTGCTGGCGTTTTCTTGTGGGCGGTTGCGATTTTCTTGACAAAAGGCTCTTCCAACAGTGAAGGTATCTTACCCCTTGATTAACACGAAACTCTCATCAGTACCAATGCATGTCATTCTGATGCTGTAGTATGCAAAACTGTGCAGACATATCACTTGTGGAGAATTAGCCTGTAAATAACCTAGCATACACTAACTTTCAATATCACAAGCAATGCACAATTACGATGTGTGCTTAAGTTAATTCTTGTGCACTGAATAACATTAGATGCGGTCTCAGCTCAGATGTTGGAATGAAATAGGAAACCCACCCCATGACACCAGGAGATCCGATTGGGGCATACGCTTCCACCTGAATATTCTTCGACTGACAATGTTCAATCAACTTCCTGTTCATGCAGTTGACAGAGACCTCAATCTGATTTACTACTGGCTTGATTGAACAGACTGCCAATATTCGATCCACTTGCTTCCCGTTGAAGTTGGACACACCAATCGACTTGACTAAACCAGCAGCAACTAGTCCTTCCATAGCCTATGGTACAAAAGTAAATACCCGCTGCTGCAAATTACTTTCCATGTTTCTTCCAACGACTGGTTTTCATACACGATAGCATTCCGATCGTACCCATCGAATTTCTTTCCCGGCTTAGTGTGAAAAGCTGTAGGTAAGTGAATGAGGTAGAGGTCAAGGTATTTTAGTCCGAGATGCTTCAATGAAAGCTCACAGGAATCGCGCACATCATTAGGACTGTGTTTGTCACACCATAACTATAAAATCACATCACAACTCTTTGGACACATCGTGTGCATACCTTAGAGGTAACAAATATGTCACCACGATCAAGTCCTCGCAACTTCATGCTTTTTGCTATTGCAGCGCCAATCTCTTTTTCGTTTTCATAAAGCATTGCGCAGTCAATATGTCGAAATCCAATTTCAATTGCATGACATACAGCATCCCCTACAACATTTGCGGGAGCCTACAACAAAAGTAACCCTGCTCGAAGAATTTTACCGCAAAAGTCCCAAAACCAATAGATGGGATTTTTTCTCCATTATTCAATGTAAAGTATCGGGGAACTGACATTGTGGTTTGCAGTGAACCTGATAACAGGCATATTTAAACCCTCGTAAAGCTCAAGATTTACTAAAAGAAAATCTGAAGGTCGCCTTTAAAACAATTAACCTAGTGTTCCCTAATTGTAAACGGTAAACTCTCCAACTTAGTATTCTATACTTTTTCGCTAAAACGACTACAGTTACTCACCAAGTCAACTTTCACAGCTAGTCTTCGATGTTGTTCGATTCGTCCAAATATTAATAGGTCTGGACTGACACGTTCAATTGGAATGCACCGAAATACGGTGTCTTGGTATTTAAAAACAGCATTTATCTTATGAAATCATGGCGTTTTATTTTTCTAAAATATAGAATGTGCTGACAAAGTTTATTGCAGTAAAATTGTTTGTGGAGCTCAACTGCTTTCCTCGATTGTTTTGTACGGCCATTTATTGTGGTTAGTAGGAACAGTAGGGAATTATAATCAGCGCCGACCATGTGCATGGGTATTGTTCATTATTGCTAGCATTAATGTTATTAGAGATGCATTATTAAAGTTAAGTTAAGTTAAGTTAAGATGGTCTAAATTTGTGCTTTTTAAGGGATAATGCAAACCTCATTTTTATAATTATCTTAATAAAAGGCTAAATGGACAGCTAAGGATGACTAGGCATGACTTCATTTAATATAAGGTAACATGTCTTGGGTACATTCTAGGTAATGTGTGGATATGATAAAAATGTTTGTCAACCAATAACTTCCAAAAAATTCCATAGTTTTCGCTATCCCAAACACATCATCCACTTAAACCGAGTCGTGGCGTCGAAACACTTTCGACGAATTTACTTAACTCTGATGCTTTTAGCACTGTTGGCTCCTTGAAATCTGAAACAATTAATGACAGTGTAATTATGAACTCTAAAATGCTTGTGGTCAATGAAACGACACGAATTCGGATTGATGAGGGTAAATTGACGAAAATTTCTATTTAAATGCTTATATTTTAAAGTTAACATCTGAGCTCAAAATGCGAGGAAAGACCAGTGTGCTCAAGTATATTGGATATTATCACTTTTTATTTGTATTCTTTTTTCATTAGTCATTGTTGATCATGAATTTGCAACTTCACCCGTTTTCACAGCTCATTTTTCCGTTTCATATTTTCTGTCAATGTGGAACTAAGTCTTTAATTGTGCAGATCAGAGATTGAAGCATATTTGATGTTGCAACTTTGATTTCTTATACTCGCAACTAATTCACACCAATGGTCATTCAGTTGGATAAAATGCTTTCAAGGAAAAAGGAAACTTTTCAAGAAACCAGAGGAATTTTAAGGAACACATCAACGGATCACTTTCTCAAGTCTTATATTTATTATGTCGAGATTTCACAAGGTGTCCATGGAAGAACTAAGACTAAGTACACCTTCTTATTTAGTAAATGAGACGTCCTTTTGCTTGGCAGACCGTTAATTCAAAACGTTAGGCTTGAAGTTTGGTCTCTGAACGAATTTGTTTTAAGATAAATGATTAAATTGATGTTAACTAATGGCTCATAAGAATGGTAACGCGCTGATCTCAGTACTTGAATTTTGATTTTTTAAGTGCTGCATTTATTCCATGTCGAGCGACTGAAAATAGCATCTCCGATACAGGAAAATCGCGCAAAAGAGGGCCATCAGAGATGGTTTTTGAATCGAGATGTGTTCCAGTGGGTATATTTTAGGATGCTTAACATACACAGCACTGAAATTGCATCCTGTTCGCACACGCATCGTGGGCTGTTTGCGGTCGCACGCGAGTGAATCCTGTTTAGACTCTTGACGAGGACATTGACTCAAAGTCACTTGGCTGGTTCGACACTAATAAACGGTCGTGTTCTCTGTCGCCTCTTTTCCCCTCCTTCCTCGGGTAGTTACGGGCTGTTAACTAGAGGGTTGTAAGTTAGTGCTAAATCCCTAGCCGTTACATAACCACTTCATTGTTTGCTGTTATCAGACGCCTGTCATCTGCTCACGTAACAGCACACAGTGACACAATTGGCTGGCCTGACCCTAATAAACGGTCCTGTCCCTCTTCGCCTCTCTTGTCTGGTTACTTAGGCCTGTTAACTAGAGGGTTGTTAGGTTGTGCTAGGAAACCCCTACACACTCACCTCAGTGACTCACCACGCCTCACAATTGAATAAACTGTTGTGTACACCTCGAAGAGGCCGTGTGTTAACTGTGCAGTACTCAGGTTCGGTGAATATATCAGACAACGATATTCTTCGAAGTAACTTAAAATAATTACACACCAAGGAGAAATAAGAAGTAACCCAACGACAAGTACTAGGAACATTATGCAAGAGGTAAACATAATTACAGCAACCTGTAATTTCACATCACGTGTGCCCAGATATGTACTCGGAGAGAAGACAGTACTCGAATGCAGACAAGTTGACAAGATAAGTTTGCGGATTCAATTGGAACGACAAACAGAT